GTCAAATTGTTAAACAAAGATGACGTATTTAATTTATGTGTCACGGGTTTGACCACTTTCAGAAGAGCAAACAATTAAAACAAATATCCAGATTTCGATTCATTACACCCTGTAATCTATCGCCTACAGTCTTTTAAGAAGAGCAGATACTCTCTTTATTATCATTATTTTCCCCTTGTGTTCCTAGTGGAACATAAGGCTTCAGTAGCAAGTCACCATTTCACTTTCTTCTCTCCAGTCTTTTCAACCTGGTTCCACGAATGCCCACAAGCTCTCATTTCTTCCTCACATGGTATCCTCCATGTCACCGTCGCCTCGAACGCTCAACTCGTCGTTTTCCCTTTGGGTTCCACTCAAGGGCTTGGACTGGCGCATGATGTCCCCAGTCGGCTTTCCCAGTATATGCCCGATCCATCTCCACTTTCTACTGCATATTTGTTGGGCTACAGGTTGTTGGTTGGTTCGTTGCCAGAGTTCCTTGTTACTTATTCTTGTTATTCTGGTCATCTGATCTTCAGCGTCGAGTGAGAGTAGGTGGCAGCTGTCGATGAATATCTGTAGTCTGTTGGAAATGCTTTTCTTGACGCGCCAAGTTTCTGAACCATATAAAAGCACTAACTTGACGTTGGTGTTGAAAATTTGGATCTTGTTCACGCTTTGTGCTGAGTGCAGTAGATCTCCACACTGATTTCAGACTAATGAAGGCCTGTCTTGCTGTCTTTTTGATCCTGGCTTTGACATCCTCATCTGTGCCTGTGCCACCTGTGGTTGAAACGATGCTGCCTAGTTGGTTTCTCCCGTTGGTGGTGATTGGCGCTTGTTGTTGTTGGTTAGGCATTTTCATCACCTCCGTCTTCTCTACGTTCACCTGAAGGAAGTCCCGTCTTCCTTCGCTGCCTCGCCTCTTCTGCCAACTTGTTAGTTTTCGCCTGTAGGTGTTTGAGTTTGTGCGGTATTAGACACAAATCATCGGTTAAATCCAAGTCTTCCTATGTCTTTTCAGCGGTTCAGCCAGCGTATGCTCCTTTTCTGGCTCCTCTTGGTTCGCTCCATGACCCAGTCCAGTCAACTACAATCAGGAAGATGATCGGCGATATTAAACAACCTCGTCTTACTTCTATCTTCATTGAGCTTTCCATTATGAATCACTTGACATGTGGCATCTTCATATAGCTGTTGAATGAGGTTGATAAAGGTTTTTGGTATTCTGTAGTGTTGAACCAGCTGCCTGTTAAATTGCATCTCATGCGACGTTGTCAAAGGCCTTTCCAAAGTCAATGAATTTCAGGTAGATATCCAGTTGACTGTCATTCTATGCTCTGTTCTGTGATGATCCATGGCGCTGCAACTTGGTCCGTATATGATTTGTAGTTCGTGAATACAGCCCGTTCAGGTCGTAATTTTGAATTCAGCGCATCTTTTCGTCTCTTTAGGATGATGTGGCTTAAGATTTTGCTTGGGGTGGACAGCAGCGTGATTCCGCGCCAGTTCTTGTTCTTGAAAAACTTAGGTCTCCCTTGTTTCGGGGTTTGTCGGGATTGTCCTCCTTCCAATCGGTAGTACCTTCCCTTTCAGACCTGCAATTGTGATGTGAGCATGTACGCTGTTGTCACTGCATCTTTTTTCAGTGCTTCCGGAGGAATTTCATCTGATCCTGCTACTTTTTCGGGTTTCAGTACTTTCATGGCGATCAGGACTTCTGCTTTTGTCGGTGTGCTTGTGTTCAGTGGTAGTTCTGTGGCTGCTGGCGGTATTTCTGGACGAAGTATAGGTGGTGGTCGATTCAAGAGCCTTTTGAAGTGGTCAGACCATTGTTTCCTTTGTTTCTGTTCTTTGGTAATTAAATTCCCTGTATCATCTTTTATTGGTTTCATCTGTGTTGATCTCTTCCCTCCTAGACAGTAACCTGGTTATTTGATATAGTGTTATCAGGTTTCTCCTACCAGCAGCCTCTTCTGCTTCATTTGCCAATGCACTGGTTCATCTTCTGCTTCACTATCACCATCTTCTCTCTGCTTTATCAGCTTTTATGTCCTTCGAGAACAATTCGTAGCCTTGCCAATTCTTTCTTCCCAGCATGGTTACGCAGGTTTTGTTCCACATCCCTTCCAAAGAGTTCCAGTGTTCTTCCACACAGGTTTCTTCAGGGATGTTGCTAAAAGTTCTCCATTTTTTCCTAATGGCTGGCGTGAAGATGTCCTCTGTAGTTTTGTCCTTCAGTTTCCAAGGGTTGAACTGTGATCTACCACCAACTTCTTTGAAGGCTTTCAACTTGATGTGGAAGATTCCTTGCACTAGATACTGAGTGATGTGAACCACCTACATCTTCTCACCTTCTTGATCTGATCTTGTGTCCAGTACGCTGCATCTCCACTTTCTTCAAATTGAGACGATGTCGATCTGACTTTTAGTGTGTCTGGTGAAACTCATGTTACTTTGTGAATATTATTGTGTTTGTACACACTTCCTCTAATCACAAAACCATTAAATGCGCAGAAATCTGCAAACAGCTCTTTATTCTCACTCACCATTTCACCGAGTGCTTCTTGACCCATGAAGAGTTCTCTTCCTGTGTTATCCACTCTCCATCCATTAGAATTTTGATATCACCATCTAGGTTGGGCTCTTGTCCAGTAGTGATTGCAGTTTTCTGTAGAATTCCTCCTTCTTCTCTTCATCTGAATTATTTGTAGGTACATAGAATAGCTTTTTACGATTGTGACTTTCCTTCCTTTTGAGTTGAATCCTGCTGTCATGATCGTGCAGGAGGAGATTGGTTCCCGCCGCATGAGAGAGAGAGCCTTCGATGCTGGTGGGGATACCATGACAGCCACTCCAAAACTCTGTGTGCTAGTGGTCTTGGTCTGGGGGACAGCAGTGGAGTAGATTATTGACCCTCCAATTAACAGTTTGGAGAGTCCATTTCCATTCCATCTGTTTTCACAGACTCCTAGCACTTCTATCCTATACCTTCTCATCTCTTTTGCAATCTGAGCACCGTTGGTAGGCTCATAACTGGTGCGGATATTCCATGTCCCCACGTTTATTTTCGCTTTCATCGAGACATTAGAAGACATATCGGCCAATTGACTTCCCGAAAGCTTCCACCAACCGGCGTCATTTCGCCTCTCCAATTCCAGTGAGGAATAATTTTGTTTTTATTTTTTATATTTTGTTTGTGCTTTGAAGTTTGTTCAGCGGTTAGATTTGTTTTCCGGGGTAGGGTTGCTAGCCGTATGCCCAACCTTCCCTCTTTACCCGGGTTTAGGACCGGCTAGTAACTAGTGAACTAGTTAACCAGGCGAGGTTATACTCTAAAAATGGATAAAAACAAAAGAGTTGGAGAACTGGAATATGTGATCACGATACTTGAAATGAATATTTCTGAGGTGAAATTCATTCGCAAAGCAGGAAATAACACTAAGTTAAATCCAAAAATTTCTCCTAAACAATGGGTACTCAGTAGTGGTTGTCATATACAGATCACAGACCTTCAATAATATTAGGAGTTTGCCTTATAAGTGCAATATCAGAGTGTTCCACATAATATCAAACTCATTGCACAGCACCTTGGTTCGTTTGAAGGACGATATTTCTCTGGGTTCACAATCTAATTGTGTTTATAAAATGAAAATGCTCAGACTGTGATGCAGTATACATGTGACAAACTTCATCTAAAATCTAAATTAGAAAAAATGAACACAAAATGACTTTCATCCAATCCCTAGAAATTCAGTAGAGCTGAAGAAGCTCGAAAACACTTCAGCCAAAGCTGCACACCGTATAACTTTAGGTCATAAGCTCAATCTCCACAATATTCAAATTATTCAGAAAGACTAGAATCTCCGAAATACAAAGTGGAATCAAAGTTGTCCAAATAAGAATGAGATTATAAGACGTGACTTTATCTGGTCCCAACCAATCCCCACACAATGAAATAACCAACACACATGCCTTAAGGATTATCAGCACATGTGTAAATATGAATCTCAATCTGTAATTCACACACTTTTCACTTATAATATATAAATTATGCATTTCATCTTTGTTAAACAATATGACAACGCAAAATCATTCTTGCAGAAGAATACATCAGTTCATCATATTTAAGCATGGATATTGTAAATTCCGGTTTGCTGTAACTTTGATAAAGCTAACATCATTAAATAGTGGAATGTCAGTTGAAACAAATTTATTTTGTTTTGCACTCAGTGGGAAATACAAATACCAAAATAATGAAACACATTTTCAATGTAGGTTACATAAAGCTTACTGGCAATATAGTGACAATTCAATTTGGTATGAACGCTATTTAATCTTATAGTTTTGCAACTTATACGTTCACAGCTGATTGGAAATAAATTTTTCAGTATATTTTGTGGAGCACTGTATATCTTAACTTTTGACCAACCTTTGAAAATCGTGACACACTTGCTGGGCTGCCTTCAAACTATAATCTATAATGTATGCATCTATTCTTTCTTTAGGCTAGGAGTGATTAATATTTGCAAATTTTTTATCACTTAAAGATTCACCGAACCGATTGGAAGGGAAAACATTCAAGGATAGACTTAAAGCCAACTATCTAATCTATCAAGCAGCCTACCCTAGATAATCTTCTGCGGTCAGTAGGCAGAAAAGAAAACTGGTACATTTCATCATTTGTTGACCAATTTATGTAATAAAACCATTCAGAGTATAAATACATTCTAATATGGAGTGATGTACTAATAATGAACTAGTTCTCTCCTCTTTTAAAAATTAAGTCACACTTTTCCAGCTGACTCTAACTGCAAGAGGTAGAACTAAAGAAATGCACTGAACCCTTTTTTTCAAATCGAAGTAATTGCCTTCTGTGGATTACTGAAATAGCACTACAGTATTTGGTTGCAGCTAAATGATGTCAGATTCAACTAATATCTTTCTGATAAAGTATCAGCCGTCATTGTTTTCATATCCACCAGCTAAATATTTAATTGTGTTTCTCTTACTTAAAACAGTCATCTGAACCCATTGCTATAACTTCTCTGAGCGGTTTCAACACAAAACCAACGACAAGCATATCAACAGCGAATTCTCAAGTAAACTTAGAGATTTACCACAGTCAGTCATCTGGTTATCCACCAAAATTCTCAACCACCTATTCACTATCTACACATCCATCATACTACTGTTATGATACACGATTACGTGCTCCAATGATGAATTCACTGCCAGTTAATATTAGATCAACCAACCAAAACTCTATGGGGTTAATTATTCCCAATGTAAGATATTCTGGGTCCAATAATGTAGTATTTTCAACAGGTAGTGCTCACTTACCAGCTTTATCAAATCCTCCTGTGGATCATAATCGTGATTTGGATGCAATAAGGTAACCGTGTTTCACAAGCATTGTTTAATGATGTTGAACCTTCTTTGAGAGAAAAAATACTACTTTGTTTCATATTTTCTGCATTGTATAACATGTCAGTCCTGTGACTAGATCAGTATATTTGTTGGCAAAATGTCGTTTTGTATGCTTTTACTAGATTAGTCAAGTTTGCATTCAGCATTGTCACAATGTTTCAGGCCTTAGAGTTAAGCAAAGAGATTTTCAGAAAGAAGAGAAAAGTCACACGTAAATCGAACTTGCAACCAAAATATGCTAGAATAAGTAAACTGAAATAGTTCCGCTGCCATCTGCTTCAATAACTCTGACTCAGTTGAGTGGTATATGAAAAGCTATTGTGTGATAGTTAGTCTGTGCTCTCTATGCTTTTACATTTATTATCATGCATTCCTACAGGACTTCATCAAAACTTACTTCTAAATAAAACGTCCAAGAAAAAATATCAAAGCTTGGACAGTGCTGAACATTTAAAATCCTCATCTTGAGCTTCAAGTCTTCCATATTACAGAAGTTTCGTTGGACATCAGGAATATATAGTTATTAGATTACAACACTAGATATTCTTTACAGCTTTAATAGTATACTCATCTATCGTTGTGAGATATGAGCCTAACTGACTCAGTCAAGTAGAAAATTTAGTTTTAATTTCGGACGTGACGTCTAGAAAATGCTGAGGATAGATAATCCATTATTCAGTTGCTCTAGTTTAGTCAAATGTTGACTAATTTACAAATGCAGTGTAATAATTTTTATTTGATGCATATCTGTGCTAGTAGAGCTAAAAGAGAGAGAATAAGAACCATTAATTTTGCTGCATGTTTAGATTAAATTAGAAGAGGAGTATTATCTCACTCTGAAAGCCACCATACTCCTCTTTTCAACAAAAACAAAAGGTCTTATGTAAAGAAACCATATGTTTTAAAATTAAAGTCTGTTGCAATGGGGATACAACCATGGACAATTAGTTAACCATTTCTTAGTCAGAATCTCACTGGTTTCAAAGAAGCAGTCATTTAGAATTTTTTTATCTCACAAAGCTAACAAATGTGAAAAAAAAGAAAAACAATGAGGTCAGATATTTCTTTAATATCTGTCAAATTCCATCCCACGAACTCCAGTTATCGTAGCAAACATCAATTATAGGTCATCGATTATGACTCCTGGCTGTGAATTTAATACTTAGTGATGCAGTTTCAAATCACTGAGGTTACACTGGTTTCTTCATGGTTGCAGACACATCAATCTGTTGTTTGCGGACAAGCTCGAAAACCTAGTCGACCACGGCTTCATGCTGATTAACTCCCAGCATCTAACAATTCTAAGGCGAATTTACTGTAATGGATAACTGAATAGTAATTCTCTTCGAAACCTACACCAAGAAGCATTTGTTGAAATCCTACCTGAAGCCTATTAAACTGTGCAACTAATCTATTCACAACTGAGGGTTTACCCTAACCAGGCAAAATATGCAACTGTGAGTACTTGTTTAGCGCTTGACTATAGCCTGGAAGCTTCACTTGTCAGATCTCCAGAAATTGTCTCAATAACTTCTAACGTCCCATATTTGGTCTTGAAGGATGTCAATTTTAACTTTATCAAAACAGTAGTCCAGAATAGCTGTTGAATAGTTCTGGGCTGTCACCTGATCATCAGGCAACATTAATTGGTTATTAACCACATTTGCTAAGCGGTTATCTGTTACGTCGTGGTTATACAGAATACCGTTTGATGAAATACAACCTATTTTGAATTGATTCAGAGTAAAGTTTTTATATTTACTTACTTTTAACGAAGCATCTCAGACAACTGGGGATCGTCCTGTATAGCTTGCTTAATAATGTTCGATTTCCCAAAGACTAACTGAAATCTTGTTTTGTGAAACAAATGTCGACTATGATAATTGTACTGTAAATGTTAGTATGTTGTTTACAATTGTCCCTTACTTTCATTCTTCATATAAAGAAGGCGTACACAGACCGATTTACCGACGAACATTCATCACAATCAGATGACTCGAGATGACTTGGAGAATACTGATAATTCAGACAGCTGTCAAAAAGAAAATGAAAGAAAACGGTCCATATTTGGTACACTAGGCCGCATGTTTAAAAAGCCGAACACTGTAAATATACCCAGTTCTCTTAGTCAGGCTGACAATAGCGCAAAACCACTTACACCCCATTTTCAACAATCTTCATCAGCATTACCCATGCATTCCAGTCAACTAATGCAACCTACTCGCCATTACTATGTACATAATGTTCCTCATTCACAATCTGTTTATCAAGCAGATGAACGAAATCGATTGTTCAACATACCATATTCGCATCAAGATTCAGGATTCCCTAATGTGTCACATTTTAATCGGTCGGTAAATCCTAGCTCTTACTCCCAGTATCATGTACAAGAAGTTTCATGCAGATATAGTCCACGACCTCCATCACATCATAGCTACTTCGGGAAGCCACGGTCTGGCATGTATTCTTCAGAAATGCATATCAATCAGGAGCAAAGCACAAGTCATGTGCCTGCAGTATCTCATACCAGTAGTAATGGGACAAACACTCAAGGTCAGTTAAATTAAAAAAACAGTATTTATGTATGTGGAAAATATATCATGAAGGTTTGCTTCAAAAAGTGGTTGCATAGGTCTGAATAATTAATTCATGAGTAATTATTTGCTGAGTCTGTTAAGACATTTAACTGATATATGGTAACTTGGAATTGAACAGTTCACATTTACCAGGATGATAGCACAGATATCGAAAGATATTTGTAGTCTATCAGTTCTTTAGTACACTAAAGCTTAGTAGTCAACAAAATCACTCAAATGTCAATGAGGACCAAGCAGTTTGTGAATAACTCACAGACTGATTATTCGTTATATATACATAGGTTAACATTAATTCTATAGCCGTGTAGAGCAGTCATATGAAATTTAAGTTACTAGCTACTTTCAGTAATGAGTTTTAATTACACGTATACATTATCTAACAACAAATACTGTCTCAGGCAGTCTTGTCTATATCTGGATATTCCCTTTCACTTTGTTTGTTCATCGAAGTTTCTAGTAGAATAAGAAGACTTTAGTCTTTCACGAGTGTGATTTTTACCTCTCATGTTCATGGCAGCTAGACAGAAAGCTGCTTTTACGGAAAACATGGTATCTAGATAAAAAAAAATAAGTCTGTCAACACAGTCATTACAGCACTAGATCAGTAATTTATCACACTGATGATCTGAGTATTTCAAACTCAGTCATTTGCAACAAGACTATCTGTATTATTTACACACATACTAAATTTAATTTTGTTTTCGTGATATGTACTTATTTTTTTAAACAATTTCACTTTAGCGAGTACACACGGTCCAAAACAGACTCAAGAAGACAAACAGAGATCTCAGTAAGTATAGAATGGCGAATAAACATGTGTCTTTTTATGACTGTCATTTAATGATAATCACGAAACTTCTTTCACTTAGTTTCCATGTCTATCGATGTTGATACTGGTGACTAACCAACTTAAAAGGGATTTTCTCAAATCCTTAGGAACGTTTTCTCATAGTTGTGTCCTTCTTACTGGGAAATCATACTCAGGTCACTGACAGAATTATTCGCTTTTGAGTGAAGAAATTAATTTTATGGTAGTAGTGAGTCAAGAATCCGAACGTAAAAATCTGTCATCTTATCATCGGTATTGCTCATTTAGTCTACCAAATGTTGTGAGTTTTCATTGGGTGGCTGACAACAAGAAAATTATGAATAATGAGTGATCTAGTGCTTCTTGTATTAACTCTGTCAACAAACCAAATGAGTAGTGTCATCATGGGAATTTTTAATCGCGTTTCTTTTAATAGCAGTCTAAATCTTATTCTGTTAACCTTTCATGAATAGCCAAATCTTCTTTTCATGAGAAAAGCACTAGAATGGCTATCCTAATAATCAACAGTTATGAACAAAAGACGTTAGTTAAAAGGTCTAAATCGTTTTCCAAGTATTCAATACTAAATAAGCTTTTTCGCTGTCTAATGATTATAAAACAACAGTAATACGTCCAAATCCATATTACCCTGTGGACACAGATTCACATTTTTCTGTATTATTGCTAATAGTCCTTCAACATAATAATTAGTTTCATGGTAATATAAAGATACTATCAAGTGTTCTAAACATGTGTAGTATACCTTTAAACTAAACTTTTAAAGCCAATCATATATACGTGAAAACGATCTGGCAAATCACTACAAAAACTACAACATTTAATGCGAAATCTAGAGTGGGCTTCGCAAAGATCGAGATATGTTTAACATCCGTTTTAAGAGAAGGTTAGTATTCAGACTTCAGGAACAAAGATGGCTGATCTACTTTAATCCTTGCCAGTGACAGTACTGTGGAGATTCAACCTCGCTTTGAAGGTATCATTGCAGGGTTTAGGCACTGTGCAATCGGATAAGGTTTTACCTATCAATTACGCTATGTGATCCGCATATTTCCAGACGTAGACGATTTAACTGTGGTTTTCTCACTTTTTATGATATCTTCTGGTGTGAAGAGTTCTGGACTTAAGAAATATGTATGATTATCTAGAATATTGGTCATTATTCAAGATATTGAAAACAGATTGCTCCTCAACCTATAATGAGACAGCGGAAAAATGTCAAATCGATCCAGTCTTTCTGAATAAGAGAAGTCAGAGATTCCTTTAATTATCTTGGTTCCTACTTTTTGAATGCACTTTAATATGTCAGCTCCATTTTGAAACATCAACTGGTCATTTTAATCACAAAATCCGAATATGTACCACATTTGTCAGGTATACGATGTGAAACGTGTTCTCATCAAAGCTCCGAAAGGTTTTTTAGAAGTACAAAGAGATAACAAAGGCTTGGATAGGTACCACTCTGTGGTTAGCTAATGCTTTACAGTCGTGGCCGACCGTGATACCTAGCTCCTTACATACGGTTAGTGTAAGCAGAAACAGGTCATTAATCGAGTAGTCATATGAATGATCGTGATAAATTTAAATGACTACACTTGGGGGTATAATTTTCAAGAGACCATTTAACGGATAAAACCACTAAAGTATTTAGGTCGTTCTGTAGGAGAGGTTTATCCTCATCACTGTGAACTGGTTTGCATAATTTGACTCTGTCCGTAAATATGAGAATGCAAGGTATAGTAAACATCGGCAATTCATCCACATAAGGCAGTAGATGAAGTGAACCTAAGACGGTAGCTTGAGATACTCCAATCTTTACTGAATCCATGAAGATAGCATTCTGTTTCTTTTACTCTCTGCTTTTTTGTCACGTGGAAAATCGTCAACTTAGTTCTTCATTATGTGGTAAAAATCCCAAAGCTGTGCAGCTTTTTTTGAGATCTTATTAAAAGATTTTCTGAATATCACATCACCTAGAAAATTCATACCACACGCTATCCTTTCTTGTAGTGGTGAAGTTTTTTAGACGTCAGTAGTCAGTCATAAATTTATGTTGCCCCATAGCTAAGAGCTTATTCCCCTCGAAGTGCAACACAATGACACTTTCTGTGATCTTTTCCGAAGGCACAACAACTAAGCTAGTTAGAGTAACCGGATGCCAATTAGCCACTGAATTTCTACGAAAAGTTATAAAGAAAGAATTGCTAATGGCATTTGAAGTGATTCAGTGAATGAAAGAAATACATGAGCGATACTAAGGTGATGAGACACTGTATGGGTAGGAATAGCAAGTGTTCTTCCCAGTGCATTATATTTCACCAAGTGAAGGAACTAACACAGACGACTAAACTGTTTCTGCAAGGAAAATACTCTTCGAAGAAAATACTTAACTGATATACAGTTTTTATGAAGGTTTAACTTCACATGGTCACATGTTGAATAACTTATTTTGGTTGGTCAGCCGTAGGATAAATAGCACAACAGAACTTTCTTTGATCACAGGGCTAGTTGAAACAGAAATCGAAACAAAAAACTTCCGCCTTATTAGATGACTAAAAATGTTTATTTCCATTTAGGTCACTTCTCCCCACTATCCTTCAAATCACTGCGTAATTTGGACTGATTCAATGACATCTTAAACAGCCAACATAGTGGTTCAGTGATGAAATCCTCTAGTTACTCTAATATCCACGAATCTAGCTCATGTAAGATTTCTTGGTTTGATGTACTGGAATCGCCTCAGGATGAACATCTCAGTTAGCGGTAGTTCCATCCATGAGATCTTGTGAATCAAAAAAGTTTCTGAACTCTGAATAAAGACTTCAACTAGTACTTAACCGAAGTATTATAATAATACCTCAGTCTCAGTCATAGTATCGTCAGCTACCTGATTAAATCTTCATGCAGCATAAGGGCTGGTATGTCTTTGATCCTCTTAGCTGCCCTCTGAATTTCTTATAAACTACTAAGATAGTAATGGGAATACTAAACCAGCTACTTCTCGTAACTCAGTCAACATAATCAATCTCTTACAAGAATTTCTGACCCCACAAAACCTTAGTCCAAACAAATCAAGACTAGTTGTAACGAAGAAGCTTAACAACATTTTCTCCGATGAAGTACTTTTTTATACTGTTTAGTTGTCCACGTAAGCCAGTTAGTATGTCTGTGGAGGTCTGACAAATGTGTTTAAGGAAACATAGGAAATATAAACTAGATCCACATACCACAAACTGCTAAGTCATATTAAATGACCAGTTTATCGATGAAAGATGTTCTCTCATAGCCGACATTTTCACTCACTAGGTGTTTAGGTAAGGTTGAACAAAGTCATTAGACATAACAAAAACATAGCTTGAATGAAAAAACTGGGTATAAATTCTAAAAGGGCTAAAATGAAAGCACTCCCACAGTCTGTAAGTCTCACTTTTTGATGATTGAGTGATGCACACGGTTCAATTAGTGAGTCACATGAAACACCGGTCAACTCATATTGCTTTATGAGTTGATTTTTTCTAATTTTGGCTAACTGAAATGGTCTAAGAGTGTTTGGTTTGGCAGATAGTTCAATAAAATGCCTCGACAATAATGTCTGTTACTTCGGAGGCATTTGTGTACCGTACTTGTTGGCTAAGGTTTCGTTAAACGTCTATTTGGATTGAAGATTTTTTCATTTTCCAACCAACCGGAATTTATTCTGTCGTTCACCACCTCGTAGCTCACTTGTTTTACTAACTTTTAACGAATCGTATACCTCTGATGAAGATGCAGCTCTGAATAGTTTCATATTCACAATAGCAAAACTGCAAATAAAAGCAAACATCCCATCGTTCTGTTCAAAAATTCCTTAGGAACACTTATTTACCTAGATAGAGTACTCGATCAGAATTCTGAAGATCAAAAAGAATATTAATTTTTTTCCTCGAGGATCATATATTACTACAAAGCACTTGTTACGTGACAAACATACTTGTTTTGTAGATCAAAGTAGTATAAATTCATCGTTCAAGGTGTCAGTCGATTAAATAAAAAATATCTGATATCAAATTAGATGAGAAACCTCTTCTTTACTCATGGTGACACAGTAAACAAAATTTCCGCTTGATGATTCTGTAAAGCAAAGGATTACTTATATATCAAATAAGAAACATTTATAGACGAAAGAAAATTTATATACATGTTCACCTACGATGAGCGAAAAACATGTAAAGTGCTAAGCTCTGATATTTTTGGACGGTGGGCGGAATTTCTAACCTTATAACTGTAGTTTTGTGGCTCAGTCTTTATAGCTTCGTAAAAAAGGCACTGAGTAAGGCCACCTTCCGAAAATATCATTATTAAATTTCACTGGGATCAGCTTGAACAAGTCACAAAGACCTAGTCGGTTGAAGAAGATAGGTGACCCATACAAACAAAATCGAATAGTTACAACTACTTTTTCCCAACTTCGTATTTGAAAAAGGCTAAATTATTTCATCAAACATAGGCAGGATCGAATTACGGAGTAAAATAAATATGTTAACATCGAGTCTCATGATAGTTTATCGAAAGTCCTTAACATTAACACTGTAACTTGCGTGTCTCTGAAACTTCGATTTTTTATAGGAATACCAACTTTTATTGAAAAATGAGACATTCAGTCAGTTGCTATTGTCTGGACGATTTGAGTCCTACTTTTAACTAACTGACCAATAAGGAATGTGAAGAATTCGGCTACTCAGATGTTCTAAATGATAGCTCAGATGAACCCGCCATGGATGTGTTAGAGAGGTAAATGGTTCTGAACAAACGACATGAGTCAGTTAACTTTATCCCTATAACCTAAAGCACAGCTATTAAGACATCGAACAGCCTATGTTCTGCCAGGAGACAGAAGTAGCCGTACGAGTTACTTGGTTGGTATAACTCAGAGATAAAGCGTATTTTGTTTAGTGAATACCTCTGAGATTTCAATACCTGATTTATTTGTGGAGACATAATTTTTATATTGATCACTCTCAGATTAGTTTGTTCATTTGCTGTTTTTAGCACTAATTTAATTCTTGTTACACTTTAAATAGGAAAATGTTACTTGAAGATGCTATTCGTAGTAATTTACCATTCACCTCTTGGAGTAGCCCTATATTAGTTGCTTGGCTAAAGGTAAGTGAATATTTTCGAACATGAATATACTATTACAAGTATAGTGGTATTTTTAATGAACTAAACAGCACTGTATTACCTGTTGAGTACAAGATCATTTAGTTTAAGCAACAGCTTTTATATACAATAGCTGTTGAAATTAAATGAATACATCTGTACCTGGAAAAGTTAATTTTCAGTCTGGTATAATTCCTCCAAAATACAGTGTTAAAAAGATTTCTGCATACATTTGGCTCCATCATAAACTGTGTAAAAATTCTATAAAACAATAATATGTAATTTGTGTAGAAAGTGTCATGTGTTTGTACTACATATTTCCAAAAATCGGATGAAACATTTACTTGAATTTAGTATTTATATGAAAGATAAAATAAATCTTTTTGAAATCTAGGAAAGGTCAAATGTGAAAGTGAAATTTAAGGTTAAAACAGTAATAAAATTTTAATGTGATAATTAGGCAGGTAAAGCTTTATACTACCTAGTGTCAAAATATTCGAGAAGGCGTTCTTAACCAGTATTTTCATATCAGATTCATTTGAAATAGCATACAGTGATACAATATAATTTACCTGATGACAATTTGAGCTAAAATTATAGCTCATAAAAGTAATCATACAACTTTGAAAATCTGATTTTTATAGTCCTATCACCTTGTATTCCTTGCTTTAAGTGGAAGTAAAATTTTATTTATGTGAACTGAATCCTTAAGCTAGCAATGTTTATCTCTGAGTTGGTTTATAGGCTTGATATTCATCTTAATTGCAACCTTTTTGAAAATTCTACCTAATGTTTCGGATATTCCTTCCTTATATAGTTAGACTGATGTGTAGGTAGAACATAACTCCACAAACTCAATCAGAAATAAACACTGTTATTATAGCGATACCGCTTACCGAATCAAATAAAGTCACTTGATCTACTAAATACTATGCGGTGATTTTGAGGTCAAATGGAATGGTCATACTAGGTGGTCGATTTCAGTTACATTCTCTGAGCATGAGAATTTCGCCAAATGTAAAATAATAGACCTGAATATGATCAATAATCTGGAAAAAAGGTAGAATAATGCAATATATGCACTGACATATAACCATACAATAGGATGAGATATGTTAACTGTGCTTGGATCTAATATGGTTAGGTGGAAAGAGAGGTCGATTACCGAGTGTTCACTCGCGTGATGGACACCCAGTACATGTAATATAAATGATACAACACCCTTACCGGATACGTGCCAGTAAAAACAAAGAATACAAAGTTACCTGACTATAAAAATCAAATTTCGAAAGCAGTGTGATTGTTTTGATATGATTTTGACTAATAATTTATGCTTGAAGCATCACTAGGTAAATAACACTGAATTATTGTATTCTGTATGAACTAAACAAATCTAATATGGGACTACATTCCATCACAATGTGCAGCTTTTACGTTTATATTTTCATCATATATTCTTAATGAGCCTAAAAAACGTGATAGTATTCATTTAGTGGCCTGTTTTGACGCTAGACCTCAAAATTGAAGAGGCTGGACATTTATTTTCAGCATTAATGGAGTCAGATAGTTTTGTCTATTTTATCAGCCAATTACAGTTTCACTTTGGTGCTTCAACTTGCAGGGTTTGACGAATCCTACAGCTGAAAGTATGACATCGTGTAGTAGTAACAACAGTGACACGTCTTCAAAGCTGAGAAGGCTATAAGAGCTTGTTATTTCACATCATTTGGACCCTAACAGCATTGTGTGTCTTTGTGATGGTAGCATTTAACCTCTGAGTGAACTATAACTTACAATTATTTTAAATTTCGCAGTAAAATTTATTATTTGGTTATGGTCTAGTTATGTGCAACTGTTTACTTTCATAACTTCTCACGGCTATTTCATACTCAATAACGAAAACATCTTCGAGTGTGGTAATACGCTTGTCAGTATCAAATTGATTTATGAGGGAAAATCCCGAAGATAATTTTTCTGAATACATTTTACCACCCACTGTCATTTGTATTGGGCCGTGACACCTTTTCTTTGTGATACTCGGGCAGGGTTTTGAATTATGCTGCATGAAATTTGGTGTGAGAAACCAAAAGGGACCATGAATCGTGACGCAGTAAATACTCATCATGGCTTATTGCGAAAGCTTGTACAATACAATTGAGTTGCATGCTATGAGGAAAATAATTGCATGTTTTTCAGAAAATTGAATTCTATAAACAAAATGTGAAAATTTGTTTTATGAAATATTTATTTATTTCAAATCTTTCCTGGTTGTCAATTTGCATTAAATGGAATATTATTATTCCAAGAAGGCACATATGTAAGCCAGTGATGTCTATCACAATTTAGAACAAAAATATATCAGAGAAAATCTCTTTGGAAATGCCGAAACGCCTAGAAAATCCATATAGGGACAATATCACATCTAGAAAGTTAGTAAACGGAGCTGGTAGCACAGTAATATTTGAAAAAAAGGTGTGTAATATAAAATTTTTAATCAGATAAAACAGTTTTGATATCATTAACACAAGAGGTAACATCTTTGCTATAGTTTTACTGATACTTTAATTAGTTTAAAAAGTGTATGTTCTGTAGAATTAAGTAGCCAGTTAGATTATAATAGGAGAACGATGGATCATATTCATTGTGTTCCCTAATAGGAAATAGTAGCATAAAAAACTAGTGAAATAAATGCGATAATATTATCAAAACATGAAGTTGGTAACTAACATTGAGTAGAGGTTATTCGAACTGAGGATCAGAACAAAACGGAAAAAAATAGATCACATGAAAATTTACCTCATTAAAATGTTCAGTTTATTAACATCAGTATATTTGAACGTGTTGTCAAACATTTTACAAACGCTGATGAGCTATGTAATAATTATTTAGTGCTTTCATTTCGGGTTTATCACTTACTGGTTACACTGAAAGCAGATATTCTGACAACTTTAGATTTATCTTAATCTCAGAAGACGATGATGAGAAATTCACTCTTTCCTTTTATATCTATAACTGCTTACAAAGTATGACAATCCACTTACATTTAATGACACATATATGAAGATACAATTTCTAAATAAATTGGTCATATACTTTATAGTTTTGTAGACCTTTTTGTTGAGCAAATTATATAGATTAATTTTCACGAAACTTATATCCAGAGCTACATGCCGATTGCCTTCATCCAACTACCATTGATCTCATTGAATCGTGATGATGAGTCTCAGCCCGATGGTTAAATTGTAAAATGACGGATAGAATTCAGTCAGCTCTTAGGCCCAGACAATGTGAAGCTGGTTACCCTTCAATGACCAATAAATAAATCTAATGCAACTGTCATATAGTAGGTCATTCGCGACTTGAATAGCGCAATGGTAACACCTCTAACTGCAGTATTGGTTGAAGAGCATTTTAATCTCCTCCGGGACACCGCTTCCATCAATTTTGCAGACATGCTTTGCTTATGGTGATAGGAAGCCCCTTGCAACTACCAGAAGCAGTTTTAATAGCGCTAACAGAGTAATAAAAACCTAACATTTCAGGTCAAGAATAGATGAGTTTTTGAAAGGATTAGCAACACATCATTAGAAAAACAATAAAACATAGAATGGCGTGAATTTCAAGTCCCACTATCTAATGTAGCCTATAAATTTCTATCATATTTCAGTCATAAAGAGTAACAACTTCCTATCCGAGACTGATATACATAATCTGAATCTGTTAGTTATTAGTCACTGCTGAAATGGATTGATGTGATGATTTATGAATTTCGACCTAAACCAAACACACTGTAAATTCAAAGTGAATTTCTAGGTTTCCTTTGATATTAACATCAAATGCTGGACAAAAATCATCCGTTTCCTGGGATTTGCTCTTTAAACACCAATAATGAGCTTAATGAACGTAAGTCTTTCACAAGAAAAACAAAACTTCAGCAGTATGTGAGATCAGTATCGATCGTTTTATGTTTTGTAAGTAGGAATCATCCAGTAACTGATTTTCTTGACGTTTACCATTTTTCTTGGGCTTTCATCGATAATTGTTGTGAATAACAGAACCACTGAAAATAGTAGAACACTGGACAGTTGGTTAATTCAGGTTTGAAGATCCTGTGTAGTGTGCACGTTCAATCCCATGCAGTAATAAGATTAAAAACCTAAAATCCTTTGGTAAACACACTATCAGACTACCAATTTATTTGACTTTATTGCTTCATCGCAATTAGTTGTCGGCAAATATTCCACCTCAGAGCTAACCTTATTAGTTTCATAGCTCATGAAATACCAGAAGAAATCCAGAGGGTTCCACTCAAACAAGTCACTTTAGAGAGTTTGATGAAATTTGGTAGGAAGGTTAGCAGAAAAGTGGTTGCTTTTCAAGGAGTTCTCACTAAGCATACTAGTTTCCTACGGTTCTCTAGGTCATATCGATTCCTGAATAAAACTCTCTGAAATCAACAAATTTCCAGCAGAACTTAAAACGGAATGCAATACACCAGTCAAACTGTACAAATCATTTTTCGGGAATGGCAGTGTATATACTGGGTGCTGATTGAAGATCAAATGAAAATTTGGACCACGGGGGGATTTGAACCAGCGACCACCAGACCACGGCCTTTCAGATAGCCAAAATGTTAATGACAACATAGTTGTTTATTTCAAACCAGTTAAACCATTTGAAAAAAACGGTTATTAGTTGCCCATTGATTATCGATGGTAACAGATAAGCAGTAGGATATAAAATGCACTTTTCCAGCAATATGACAGTCATCAAGTGAGTAAAACGTATTGATAGCCACTGAATTACTGTAACCATTCCATGTAAAAAGACTATAGGTTGACGATATGAACATATGGCTTCCGTATAGTATACCAGTAGAAGGAGTCATCGGTGACTTTTGTTGTCGATTTGAATTGAGATATAACAGTTTGATCAAAATCCGAGTATTTTGTTATTCGCTTTTGTTGTTACTTCTTAATGACTGAAGATTGATTCTTAGAACGTCTGGTAGGTTTTCATGCTATTGTTTTTATGAATCCAATGAAATATAATCTGCAGTGACAAGTATATTAATAAGGCATACTAATGTATTTTTCAATGTGAATATAGTTGTGGGTCGGTATGCCGGCATGGTATGTTGCAGCCTGCGAAGCCAATATCAAGTCTGGTGCTATGCTTGCCTCCTTATCTGAACAAGACATTCAAAGAGAATTAGGCATACGTAATCCCTTACATCGATTAAAACTTCGTTTGGCTGTACATGAAATGCTCGCGTTCACCGCATCACTGACAAGTTCATCGTCGAATCCAATCAAAGATGATGAAACATCTACCTCTATGAAACAACTACATCTTGCATCCCCATTAATAAAGGTAAATGTTACAAGTTAGTCCTGCTTTTTAATACATGCACATATACATTTATATATAAAAGTTTCGATTTCGTTAAATGCTAAAATCCTAGAAAAACTGAGATATTTTCATAGCATTGGTGTGTATATTGCCTCATTGAAGCTAGTGGATAACCTATATTTAAAATGGAACCCCTAATATTAGATTCATATTTCTTTGTCAGTATCAGCAAATTTTGCTGTGATACTGAAACCAAGAAACCAGTTAAACAAGCCATTAAAACCCTTTTGCAAATGAATTGACTGCTAACATCTTAATTTAACGAAAGAAATGTTTGATGTACTACTGAAATATTCTTTAAGGTAGATAACACAACAGCCAGATTCTTACTGTCTTACTATTCTGAATTGTAAATGAAAAAGTTCTACAAGGCTTAGCTGAAGTGATCTCACTGCCTGATCTTAGACAAAATAAAATTTGAATTCTTGACTCTGCTGTAATTTGAGTTCGATACGTTTATGTACTCATCCTGGAATTTAATGCATTTCCACTAGAAACTAGCCTCTTCTTTTTAAAATCTCGAAGAAAGTATCAATTTCCATAGTGCAGCTTATGCTGACAGATCATAAAACCTTCTTGACTGTTTCTCTCATTAACAACATCAGGTATAATTAACAATGCACGTAATACAATGGATTCATACCTCATTTATCTGATCATCTGCACTGGGTACCAAATTGTTTGTTATTCTAACACCAGAAGGACAGGTAAATCAGTCTAGATACTGAATAACAACCCCTTAAAATACTTTTTCCTTTTGAAGAATCTGATAACATGTAAAAATCTATGTTCAATACGGAAGCATTGAAGTATATACTCATGCAAATAAGCACGATTTCTCGTGTTCATTTTTACCTTAGTCGGCTGATCAAATAAATCTAAGCTTCACAGTTTTGTCGCAAAGCGTAAAAGCACTAGGTTTCAAAGCGTCTAGATTCTTCTTTTCCCAACCATTCGCAAGGCCAATTACATGATAAGGACATACGATCGAAGATTTCTTTATGTTGCTATTCCCTAACTAATCATTCTTTCAAAAGTATTGATGGACATTGGCTAGCAGTGTAATGCAGGACTCATTATTCACCGCATTCAGGACTGGTTAGCTGAATGTGCTCGCCTCCCAGTGAGGGATGTTTTCTCAATGAGGAGTCAAACTCGGAGCCGGTGGCTTCAAATGCTAGAGCTTTATCCACTAGGTCGCGAAATCAGGTAAATCACTGCTTGTGCCTCAGGTTCTCATGTTGTTGATTTTAATTCCTCATAGTTGATTCCGCTGCTAACCACTTTTCATCATTTGCATCAAACGAAAACTTGAGGCAATTTAGAGACATCCGTGAAGGAAAACAAACGCTAAGAAAGACCAATCAATTTCGCCTAATTAACGACGGAAAATCGTAAACAAAAGCAATGCAATTCGCTTTTTGGTTATGAGTTGAGTTGTCTCTAACTGTAGGAAATCAGTTATAAAAGAGATTCAAACAACAACCTTCTAGTCATCCTGTGAGTACCACCAACTATCAAACTAATAAAGATATTTAAAATTTTTACACTTAATTAAAAAACGAAACCATTTGCTATTATGAAAGTTATAGGTTAACAAAAAGTATCTTTTGAATACACGATTTCAAGTTAATGCCCTTAAAAGTAATAATATCTTCAGATCCCACTAAATTAAAACAGTCGAAGTAAAAATCATCGGTCTCTGAGAATTTCGCTTCATAGCTGTTTATTGAATTAAAGCTGTCAAATAATATTCAAAAAAATCTGATTTCATCATTTACACTCAGTTATCATTACCCCACTGAAGAGATTATCATTCCAAAACTAGGTAAGATTTCTACAGAGTAACTAAATCTCTATCATAATGAATAAATAATCACTTTGGATTTTCAACTAATCTCAGTTATTTACAACAAGTATCTTCAAATTAAGAATAATGTGGCTCGAAATGTGGTTGTTAAAAATCTCTAAGCTGGGATTGCGTTCAGTGGACGTCTAGATGTCATGCTGGACGTAATCACCAGTCCACCAATAGTTCACATAACATCATATAAATGTTCATCAGCTGTGCTCCAGAGCTTGACTCAATCATAGCATTTCGTCAAACTATTTGTGGTGCTGATGCTTCTTATTTGAAAGGTCCTTTAAAATGTTAAAAAGCATAAGCATCAGTCTAATGATTATTCTAATATTTTATTAAGAGCTTCATACTAGAATGGGTCGCCATCAGTGATTACGCAGTAATCCTTCATTTACTTAGTTTTTGATTGATTGTTAAACCGAAATATATTTTTACTTGACTCATGACCGTTTTCAAAACTGCAGTAACCATTTTTTGCATTCTGAAAACATGTTACATAGTTCAGATCGTAAATTCGATCATGCCATTAAGTTGCTATGATGTACTCTGTAAAATATATGTTTTCTAAAGAGGTTCTGATTTATGTATCCTAAGTATAAATGCGGTGAAGAGTTATTATACAAGCTCCAGTAACTGAGAACCTAGGCTGAAATAGCATTCTGTGATTCATGCGGTTGAAGCATTTAGTCGATTAAATACCTCCAGCCACATCAACACTTCTCATGATAAGGGTCAGGGTCGAATTGGTATAAGAAAAAAATGAGACATTCTGGTCGCGTTTCATTTCATTACAGTTACCTAACTGGATGCATCATACAGCGAATGAGTGCTGATATCGCAAAGTCATCAAGTTTATCTGCTTTCGGATTTTGAACCTGCAGTCTTTGGCTGTTCCATCAAGCACAACATAATATGTCTTTTGTATTGAAAATATGATACTGATCTCTTTATAGGCAGTTAGCTTTGAAAATTGGCGATTTATACAACAAAGTTACCCGACACTTTTAACTGAAGATTCGTTACACATGAAGTGCTCTTAGTGAAATTGCAGTGAGTAGTAGAAACGTCAAAAGCATAATTCCGAAAATATATTATCAGATAGTCAATAAGATTACGAATCTAAAACAAGTGAAGTCTTTGAGGTCTATGTAAAACCATAGCTTAGCATAAAGGTTAGCTTTAGATGGAATCAAATCAGTCCGGAGAACAGCTAAAATCAGTCGATTCAAAACACAATAATAGTCCATTAATTTTCTGGCGGTTGCTATGAATAGTGTAGGAAATTATATCGTTAGTATCAAAGGTTCTTTGAACGATAATAACAAATTGCTGAAAACCTTTGGTTACCACATAAAATCAATGAGAGGGACGAAAATTCAATTACTCTTCACTATCATCAGAATTCTGACTTCATCGCTATCCTCTACCTGCTTGTTCTCTTCCTTCTATTATTCTAGTCTATTTTATCTACCTGTTTCGTTCATTGGCTTTCTATTTGACAGCCTCAAATGAAGAAGCTTTAAAATCCGTTGTGTGAGTTTTATTTTCTGTCTGGTTGTCTTGATTCACTAAGTTATTGTAATGGTAGCTTAACCTGCTGAGTGTAATTTAACTAAATTTATGTCTTGGCTGTGCATTAGCCTGATGACCGACTAAAGTGAATGGAACTAAAAGACCAAACTGCAAGCTTACCGATTGCATGTACATTTCTAATAATATCTTAATTCAAGAAGTGACAAAAACGAGAATAACTTGGAGAAGTCCTCAGTTAGTTTAGAAAGATACTGATCGATAGTAGTGTGATAAATGTGGGTAGTTGCCTTTGAACCTTCGAACAGTAAACTATCTGTTATAAGTATGAAGGTTGGTAGGCACTAAAAGTAGGCCATAATCCCGAGGAATTTAAACAGTAGATACTATTGACTAGCTGCCTGTAGGTTTATTTATCATTCAAGAATAGCTTCTAATTGCTGAAGAGTAAAACAGATGTTCTTCAGGTGAAGTGGTTCGATTACTGCTGTAATTAGAAAAAAAATACTGAGTTAATAACGCTAATTGTGCCACAACGTACACGGAATAAAAGTACTAATCCTCTCATTAATAAAGTATCCTGTATATCAAAAAGCAACTTCTAATCAGTGCATTCTCGAAAATATATCATATTCAAGCTATCAGAAACTGCTGTCACCAAGTGGAATTGAAAATAAACAAAAAAAATTTGGTAAAGATAAATTGCATCTGAATCTTCAGTTGTGCGCTGGAAAATAACGTGTCACTTATGGATTGACGGCAGTGCAATCATTTTTTTTTTGATAATACACTTAAAACTGTTTTTTTACTACACTTTCACTCGAGGTTCAATTGATCTCCAAACATATATTTTGAAAGAGAGTATTTTCTAGATACTGGCAGTAAATAAAACAAATGTACTGTTTTAACCCTTCTTTGTTTAAAGTTTTCTAGTCTAGGAATTTATTACAGTCATTGGAAGGAGGATAGATTGACTTATAAGCACTTGAATATTGTCTGACGTGAATGCTGCGTTTATGATTCATGACACAGGTACTTAACCAAGACGATAAATAAAGTGGTCTAGTTGTGCCACTCACTTATATCTAGCCGGCTGATTTTAAATATACACATTAAACCCAGTTGATACCTATATCATTTAATTAATCAAATTCACCGAACTCCACTACCTGGTAGATGTAATCCAGTGAGAAAAAAGAGCTAAAGTATGGGATCGAAAACTTGAAAAAAAAATTTATCATTATGAAGTTTGACTTTTACTTGCTTAGTTTATTGTGATACTTGAAAATTCAGATATCTTACAAAAACATTTAACGAATTAAATAGTCTTATTTTAGTGCAAGGTAACTGTTTTACCTGATTCCACACAGAATAAATTTTCATGACCTGATTCGCCGAAATAATTGTCAAATTTCGAAGCCTTTTCAATTTGGTAATTAGCGGTATACCTTTATCATAAGTAATTTTTAGTTCACATTGCACCACAGAATAGTTTAATTTACTACTTAACCCCATTCAGTAAGTATAAATGTTTCATCACCTAATAAATCTGCAAACAGAACTTACTTGC